GCTCAATTATAATAAAATAAAAATAAAAAAAATCGTCAAAAAAATAAAAAATAAATATTTTGGGTTGGGTCACCCTTATCTTTGACGGGTATGAAAAATAGATGTTGGCCGATTCTCAGACCTACCCAATATGCACACAAAATTTCATGAAAATCGGTAAAGCCGTTTCGGAGGAGTTTGGTAACAAACACCATGATACGAGAATTTTATATATTAGATATATATTAGGATACCCTAGCTTGAAGGCCATATGATTGGTACAATTGCGTAACACTTACTAAAATTTGGTAAGAACGTACTTACTAATAAAATGTATCACTATTTCTTTTCATTCTGGCTGTCAAAAAAGACGGCTGAGAGATCAAGAACAATACATAAGCTGAACTTAGTATTGAGTATTGTCATACTCACTTAGGTGCCTACGTATTTCAGTGTATTTATATTTTACACCACTTTAACAGTGATCAGTGTTCTTATAGCATAAGAATAAATCCTTATTGTTATGGTTATGGCTATAGGTAATATACTTCTCTTATGGGGAAAGCCTCGTGCTCACCAGTGGGACAATAATGTTTTATTGAAGAAGGTAAACCATAAAAGTTGCCACAGATAGTATACACTATTCATGGTGTAGCGGTTTAATATATTGTCTCATGTTTCAATTCCCGTACAATAAAAAAAATATATTTTATATTAATGAACAGGCAATTATTTTTATAGATCACCACGTTTTATATGCAGGTATTGCACGCCAATTTGAGTACTTATCCGCACTCAAATTGCATGCCAATTTGAGTACGGATAAGTACTCAAATTGCTCAATTTTTATACGTGCTCCTGGAACAAATTTGATTGATACAAGTTTATGCATTTACTATATAATTCTAGTATATGTGAGTAACTGTTTGACTGACATAAGTCTATCATTTTTTACTGCTCATATTAAAAACTCTGCTCAGTTTATGTCCCGAAGAGGTAGTTATTACTTTAAGTGTTTACTGCCAGCTTCCTTAATATTTCCAATAATGTCCTCGTAAAAACATAATATTTTTTGTCATTGGTATATTATATCTATACTAGCTGACTCGGCAAACGTTGTTTTACCATATATATTATTTCTAGAACTATACATGAAAATTTATCATACTACAATTATTATATTGGACTGCCATCTTACAACCCTATTGCAGCATATAAAAATCACGATTAAAAAACAGGAGTTGATCGTAAAACGGTGAAAATTTGAAGTTGTATATATTTTTCAATGCTAAATAAAATAAAAAAATTGTTTTTGGGGAGAGTCACCCTTATCATTGAGGGGTATGAAAAATAGATGTTAGCCGATTCTCAGACCTATCCAATATGCACACAAAATTTCATAAAAATCGGTAAAGCCGTTTCGGAGGAGTTTGGTAACAAACACCGTGACACGACAATTTTATATATAAGATTAGGCGTACAGATGCATAAAGTAGTACTCAAATTTGCAGCTTAATTTAGTATAGAGATTAAATGAAATGTATTAAGAGGCTGCCTTGCCAAGAAATAATCAATATACTATTCCTAAATCTATAAGTGACAACACAGAATGATGTTTATATTATAATATGAAATACCTACTTTATTACACCTTCGCCTACTTTAATTAAGTATTTATACTTACAATAGTAATAAATACTAAGCAAGTCGTATTATTTGAGCTGTTATATAATTAAAACATAGACTTATATACATTTTCCATATCATATTAGCCATTAATTGTCTAACTACTAAACATAGGCCTCCGTCTATTGGAGACTTTTTCCAGTAGTTTCTACTCTTGGCAGGCGGGTTGGGAATCGCAGTTAGGCTTTAGTGATGTTTTAAGGAGGACGCTGCTGCCCACCTTTCAACCATTTACATGTATCCATTTTTATGTTAATTTTACTCATTCAACCGCGACTCTGAATTGGAATAAAAAATATGCAGTCGTATTTGATATGAACTGTCAGTTTAATAATTTATTACCTTTAATTAATGTTTTAAAGTCTTGTTATCAATATTTATATTTCTGTGTATAATGTTATAATTTTTTAATATTCCTAAATCCTAATTAAAATCATAATTATGATACGCTCCATAACGCTCCATAACATTAGGTATTAAAAGAAGTGTTCAAAACACTAATAGCCTTATGCAATAAATGAACACCGTTATCCTACTTTACGTATACCACTTTATTCTCCGCAATATAAATTGACGGCGGTGATTGATTACACGATTTTAAAAACATACTGTGACGCTCCAATATTTCTGAACAAATACGATATTGAAATCTTCAAGAAAAGAATATATTTCTTTATAAAAGAAAACAAATACGACATTGGAATCTTCAAAAATAGAGTATAATCCTTCATAAAAGACCGGTAATACATCTACAGTTTTTCTGATGTTGCGGGTGTTTATGGGCGGCGGTAATCACTTACCATCAAGTGAACCGCAAGCTCGTTTGCCTTCTATGTTATAAAAAAAAATCTCGTTCGTTGCAAAAAAAGTAATCATAGTTAAGAGGTACTTCTTAATACACATAAATTAACTGATATATTAATTGTTATTACATTACACCATTTTAACATGACTCTAGCAACAGGGTCGAAGTCAGCGCGCACATAACAAATGTATGTATTTTTATTACATATTTGTACGAGTATATTTATATAATATTTGTTTAATAATATTTATATATATATATATATATATATATATATATATATATATATATATATATAATCATAATGTGCAGTAGTTCTCTGTTGTATGTGTTGTAATTTTTTTTACCGCATAATAAAATTTCTGTTTAGCCAAAGATTGACTGGGAGAGAATGCTATATAGTCTTAAGTCCGCCTTTTGTACCAGACATTTTTTTGTAAATGGTCAATAAAGAATAAATTAAAAAAAATCAAATCATAGTAAAAGCTATTTAATTATGTAGGTAATTGTAAGTTATGTATAAAAATTCTTATGTATGTGTAGGTGATGTAGCAGCTACTTGTTCATTTCGCATAATTAAATACACATAAATCTACAACATATACTAATCTATCATACCTAAATATTTGGTGGTAACTTCATATTTTCTTTTGAAATTTTTAAAATGTTTTTCGCTAACTAAATCCAAATTTTCAATGATAGCTTAATAAAAATATTGTATAATCAATGTTTTAATTCTATATAATCTAATATTAGAGCACTTTTTAATAAATATAAATATAAAAATATTGAAAACTGTTGAATTATTTTTGGAAATTAACAGATAATTTCCAACAACAACACTAATATATAATGTGAATGTTCTTAGGGCTTCTCGTCAGGTAATCTTTAACTTATATATATACACTTTTACGAAAAATTCCTTCTGGAGTAAGCAAAGAGGACCAAGTGTCAAAGATCTCTATTTTTACATCTTTTGCTTTATGCATTTTCATAACTCGTCTCATACGGGCACGCCGATTTCGATGACTCTCGACTCCTCCTTCAGATATAATAAGGTATATCATAATAGATTAGCTTAAGTCTCTCCCGGTATCCATTCATATTCGCTTTGTATATCTGTTTTGTTTACCTCACATCTGACATCATTTCCACATAAAAATAAGATATCTACATATTTGGAGCCTCGTAACACATCGTAAACACTCAGGTTGCTGTCTTATCAAAAATCCGTGTCCTTGGTCGTCGAAAGTCAAAAAGCGCCTTAAAAATAAGAATACTTCATATAAAGCCTCTCCATACATGTGCACGGGGGAAATACAAAATTTTCCGGGAAACAAGAAGACTTCCTGTGTTTGCCTTACACAACTTTATTACGAAACATTTTCATGGGAGGTATAAGTTTTTATTTGCGTAATTAAACAGCTTAGAAAATACTTTTATAATTTAAATACATATTATTTAATTTTTTTTTTAAATTAAATATTGTATAAGGAATGTTACTTACTTACTTGCTGATAATGTAGCTTTCTACAGGTGATAGAATATTTAAAATCGGTTAAATATATACATTATAATATATACGTGTATATATATATATATATATATATATATATATATATATGTATATATGTATATATATATATATATGTATATATATATATATATATGTATATATATATATATATATATATATATATATATATATATATATATATATATATATATATATAAATTTTAGTTTCATTGATTTAAAACGAATTTCTCATAGCAAATTTTTTTACTAAAACGTTGCAATTCGGTATTATGTATTATTAATAATAACAATATAAAAATCTCCAGTACATTAAGAAACGAATGTACCTATTGAAATTAATATCGATATATCAATCACAATAAAATAAATTACGTCACTAGAATAACTTATAATTGTATTGGATAACACCATTAATTATTTTAACATTAAGTTTCAAATATAACACCTACAATTATCTACAACGATAGATTTCAACTAAATTATGACTTTTATTATTATCCTTTCTTAATTAAATGTATAAAAATAATTAATATAAAATATTCTGTTTTATTATAAACTCAATTTCTTCAACTGTTGAGTAAAGATCTAATATAGAAAAGGGTAAAAAATATGAAGCGCAGATACTAATAATATTCAGTGGGCCTATTTTTGAGGGAAATGTATAAGAATGGTTAACTTTTTATTTAAAGGGTGAACTTTTATTTATTTATTAGATCTATTATCGGCGTTCTCTTCTTGGGATACGTTTTTATACAACTTTTAATGACTAACAAGCTGACAACTCACTTATGAAAGAAAATATATATAGGAAAGTAAATGTCGCTTATTAAAAATACCATGGGCATCATAAACTGTGACTTGAAAGTACTCCTCAAACGCTACCATTTTTACAGGATGACCATATAACTGTTCATCTCCAATATCATTCATCTCCAATATCATTCGACGTGTTAATTTTTTTCTTCCAATAACATTGATTGTACACTTACACAGATTGGAACCAGTGCCTGCGCTCGAGCCCTGAGTGCCTGCTTTGACTCTCTATGCGAAGGTGCTATCGCGCGATATCTAGCAAGCAAAATTGGAACATTATATGGTGAGTATTCTTTATTTACTAGTTATATATATAAATACTTGCCAATCCAGCTACCAAGTGTGGCAACTTCTAACAATCCTCCCCTCTTACGTCCAATGGTAAATACTAGAACAGTCTATGGGGAAAGCATATTTTCAGCAGTGGATAGTTAAAGGTTGATGTGATTATGATGTAAATATGTACTCGCTGATACGGCAAATTCGTTTTGCCGTCTATTGCCACCTACTGCGAAGCAAAATTATCTTATCTTTCAAGTTGGAGCAAACAAAACATATTTCATTAAAATCAAAACGGTTTTGTAAAATAGTATGATTTGTATATTTATTAGAATTAGTATAAGCTTAAGCAATTATGTACCTACAAAATGAAATTTGTAATATATCAGTAGTCTATTTAAAAGTTTTTTTGCCGTGCCATCCCGAGATAGGATGAGCCATCCCTTCATTTGTCGTGAGTTTTACTACACCCAGGCGACATAGGGAACTTGAGAACTTAATTATCGTAGGATAGGTATCAGCGTATCTCTTTTGCCAACTTACTTTCATTGCCAACTTACCTGCTAATCGAAGCAGCTACTGACAAAACTCTCCCAATAGAGGAGACCCATGTCCAGCAATGGAAATAACAGCTAATGTGATGATGAAAATGGGCATCTTTGCTTAAGGAACATGACCTTCCTTAAAATATTAGATTTTCCCATACAGACTTAAAAATTTTAGTCATTTTCATGTTTCTTTGAGAGAAATTTTCACATTCACCAACAGAACACACCCTTTAGAAGAGGCTGACGATTTCGATTTCAACCTGGATACAAATACGCCCTCGTGCACATACTTTAGATATTTGTATACTATATAAACATATAGAACATGTACGAGGAGCGTACGTTTTTAAACACGCAAAAGCGAATTTCTCCTTTTGAAGATGCCGTCCCTTTTGTGAGGCGTTCGCGTATTAAAGAGAAGCCTTCAAGTGTAACGTTGATCATTCTTGGAAATCAAAGTGTAGTAAATTACAAATATCATAGAATTCAGCTTTTGTTTATATATAAAATATACACCAGTGGGAGATTTTGTACAAAAGTCGATTGCTTGGGTACCTCTGTCGCATTCGTGTTTCTACCGTGAAGCAGTTATGTTTGCATGGCTGTGTTTCGGTTTGAAGGGTGGGATATGGCGTGAATTTACTGGGTACAGAGGAATAACATCTGAGTCCTCAGGAATGGCAACGCATGGGGGGTATCATGAGCGAAACAGTATACTCTGTTATGTTCATGGTACTGCTCATGTCTATAGGCGACGGTTACCACTTTCCATCAGGTGGGCCGTTAGCTTGTTTGCCATTCTAAGTTGTATAAAAAAAAAAACGCTTTATGGTAGACTTGTTTTTATCCGCGACTTCGTTCGCGTGCCCGAGATATATTCACTGACGAAGATATAAAGTGGCCTACGCCCTTCTTCATTCCATATAGTACATATGTATATACCAAATTTCATACTAATTAGTTATAAAGAGTTAATAAATAAATTCACTTTCATGTTAACAATATTAGTTTGTAATATACATAAGGCTGATCTAATTTGAGATTGTTAGATGATGACGTACCTTACTGCTATGTAAATCAATGGAAGCAATTAATCTCGGTTATGAAACGAGACAACCCTATTGTTATTAGAATTAAAGTTCAATGTGTTTTATGCTATTAGAAGTCTAACTAATAAATAAGTAATACAAGTCAATTTATTATATTCATTTCTTAATTTGTCTACCTTATACCTATATATATATATATATATATATATATATATATATATATATATATATATATATATATATATATATATATATATCCGCAAAATAGTTATGTACATATTTAACAATTACATAAGATCACCATTGAAAGCCCTTAATCTATTAATTATAAATTGTTATTTAATTAAAAATATTAGTAATGTTATTTATTTAATGGCGTGTAGCCCCGGCATAGAAAGAGCCGCCCTTTCCATTCTCACGGGTGTCATAAAAGGCGACTAAGAGAACTTAATGGTTGAAAGATGGGTTCCAACGTCCCTCTTAAAACATCGTCAAGGCCTACCTGCAGTTGCCGACCCGTTAGCCAAGCGTGGCAACTACTGGCAAACCTATTATGGGGAAGGTCTATGTTCTGCAGTAGGCAATTAATGACTGATATTATAACACATTGTGCATTTACTTTAAAAATTAGTTAAATTTAACATAATCGTAACATACAGTAATATTTTTAATAGGCGCTGTTTTTACTACAGTCAATAAATATTTGTCAGGCGAACGAAGTCGCGGGCATAGCTAGTTAATTTAATTAATTAAATCTGTGTCCATCCAATCGATATACCTTTAGGCACTTAATCAAATCTGCGCCAAGCAATGTTAAGCCTTAGTTGAGTCTTCAGTAATATTAATAGGATCACTGATTAAACTATCGACGTTGAATGACCAACTAAACAGCATAGCTAAGTGACTACGTTCGTCTTGATTGATTCTAAATCCTGACATAATTGGTGTTTCCCTATTTAATAAATAATATTAATACTATCGGATTTAAATACAAAGCACCATCTAGTCTATGGATGAATGAATTAATGAATAAAAATTTATTTTATTAATCCAACAACACTTACATACGCTTTATTATATTACATATAATATGTGTAGTTCGTATTATAATTAAGCTAGTTACATAAAGACATGATATCCATAACCCGGGGGTAGTCACCCTCAGTGATGATCCCATCTGAGCCCTCCTGCCTAGACAGTTGAGAAGACATGTCGTCGTTGAGCACCTGAATATACGTAATGATTATAAGCATAGACCAATTAAAAACATCATCATTATCAAGTCAGTTATTAATTGCCCACTGTTAAACATAGGCCTCGCGCTATTAGATTTTGCCAGTAGTTGCCACGTTTGGCAAGTGGATTCGCAACCGCAGTTAGGCCTTGGTGTTATTTTAATAAATATAGACATACTTAATTTTATTGTATCTACGAGTACATAGAAAAATAAAAAAACGAATACAAGTGAAGAATACTTATGTAAACGTATAAATGCCCATGTTGAGGATCGAACTCATAATCATAAAAAGGCGTTATACCTACTGCTTCACAACCAAGGTTACGGTGAATTTATCATTATGGTCTAATTTATTAGTAAAACTAAATCATAGAACCATACGGATACAATGGGATCGATTCTGTGGTACTATTTCTCTAAATTTAACTCTTAACCTAATATTTTAATTGAATAATTCCACCAAATTGCTGTTTTATGGTCCATCATAAACAAAACTAAACCCCCAAGGGAGAGGGTTATGTTTAACAGTGGACAGTTAAAGGCTAATATGATATAATAACAAACTAAACTTATAGTAATTGGATTTAAATCTATTAGAAAACTAATTAATATTGGTCGTTACAAGAAAAAATATGTTGTCACATCTAGTTAAAATTTTAATTTTGAAGATTATGTATTAGCGATTGAGAACCTCAGATACGACCTTAATGTTATATTCATAGTAAGTATACAATTTATACGTAAATATTTTTTACAACCTTGTAACTTAATGTTGTAAACAAATCTGATTAAAAGCTTTCACAGTAATATTAAAATCCCATAGGCGTTACAACTTTTTTTCTCTTTGAAATAAACTTTTTTCATATTTTGTTACTTTATCCGACTTTGAGATTTTTAATACCACCGGAATTTCAAGGCCAAATCTTTTATCTTTTAAAAGATAAAAACAGTAAGGATAAACTGGAATACCATATCGTTGTAAATTTCTATTGTAGCAAATAAAATAAAATAATTCAATCTACTAATGATAGTTTGTTCAAGCACGTTTTGCGACGCGTGTTTCATCTCTAAACGAGACATCTTCAGGCAAATTATCTAATAATTTGATTGAAGGCCAATATGGGTGATTGTGAAACTTCTGGTAGTAATAGTGGAGGGCAATCTTCGAGTGTTGACAGTCACACACATATTAATCGTAGCGAAATTAAACAAAATAATTGTAAACAAATAACCAGTGAAACAGGATTCTGGTCCTGAAAAAATAAAAACAACACGAGAGAGTAAACCCTATGAATTGGTAGAATTATCATAACTGTTTTAGATTTGGCGGTGGTATCATGTAACGTAAATACTCGTAAAAAATACTAGCAATCTGGCTCGGCTTTACACGGGTATTTGTGTTTCGTACACGTATATAGAATGGAAAGTTCAAATTGTCTTATTTGAATCTATGTTTCTATTATCCAATTTTAACCTAATTTGTATTAAGAAAAGCATCATAAAACTAATCGGACCGATTACATATAAGAATAAATGAAGTTGTTCCACAGTTGGGAAAAATAAGTAACACAAAAAATACAGTCAAATTACGCACCGCCCTCTTTTTGAAGGTCGTCCAAAAGTTAAACTCAATTATAAATATAATAAAAGTAAAATACGCAGCAATCATTTGAATAAAAATATAAAATGTTTCAATAAAACTGAAAAGAAATAGTCTTTCTTTCATATTTTCTTCAGTCTCGTTGGTGAAGAGAAATTTATTTCTACGCGTTTATTAAACTTTTTCCAATTTGTCGGTTTACACACCTTTAACATCCTAACAAACCAGTAAATTGCAAAAAGCGACTTTCCTCTCCATTAAACGTTGCGTAAGGAATAACTTTGTGAATCATAATCTGTAAAAAAATATTCTATTAAAAATATTGTGAATACTTGATCACAGAACAGATAATTCTAGGTGTCGCGTCTCACTATGTTTTTTATTATTAAAATTACTTTGTTCTTTTAAAGAAACTTATATTTTTTTTTTTCGATAAAATTATAAAACACAATATAAACTATTTCGTTTATTTATTTAAACTTTAATGTTACTTTTGTTCCATATATTATTGATAATAGGCGAACTTAATGCTATAGGCATTCTTTACCAGTTAACCTTTAGAATGTACAGAGATAATTATAAATATATAAATCATAAAATAGTCTATGATGGCCATGTTATCAAACATTATGCCTCCATACTCTATAATTTAATAATAATACCGTGTAGTCCCAGCATAGAGTAGACCATTCTTTCCTTTCCCGTGGGTGTCGTAAGAGGCGACTAAGGAAACTTAATGACCGAGGGATAGGTAGCAGCGTCTGCGGTTACCAACCCGCTTGTAAAGCGTTACAACTACTGGCAAAACCCTCCTAATGGGAAAAGCCTATTTTCAGCAGTGGACATTTAACGGCATTGGAACTAGAACAATTTAATTTCACTGCTCTGCAGCTGCTTCACGAAAGAAACACGAGTGAAACAGAGATGTCCATACGACGTTTATACAATGTTTCACTCTGATGACTTTATACAAAAATCATCTCACGTCATCTACTATAGTATAGGTATTATAATTATTCTTAGTAATATTATAAACGTGTAAGTGATTTTGTTTGTTACCTTATAACGCCTTAACGACTTGACCAATCAATATGAAATTTGGTATACACATACCGTATGGGATGGAGAAGGATACTTTTTATTCCGGTCAGTAAACATATCCTGATCACGCAGACGAAGTCGCGGAAAAAACTAGTAACTTAACATATTAATGTAATATGTTAAGTTACTAGCAACAAAAGCGGTTACCGGTATCAGGTGGGCCACCAGTTTATATGCCATTCTAAGTTGCATAAAAAAAATATTACAGTAGCAACCATCTCATTTTCACATTGACAGTTTCAAACTGAATATGCGCTTTTAACAAACCAAGCGATCAAGTTATTGATTGTTTGATTTAATATATAAAATAAATCAACAACTGAAGAACAAAAAATAAATACAAAATTGAAAAGAAATAAGACCCTTCAAATACACTGTTATTTCATCAAATCGACAGGAAAACTTGTTAGTAATTTCATTCTAAGGATTTTGTGCCGACATATTCGGAAGTTTTAACGTAAAATATAACTATTACAAAATTTGTAAAATACTAATAAGTTTCTATTTGTAAAAACTTTATATGGTAACATTATTTCACTAAGATAGTTTTAGTAATATTTTTAGGTCTTACACTAAAGAAATAAAATCATTTCAAAATAGAAAAATTAATACTTATTTAAATATATCATTCTAATTATAATATATATATATATATATATATATATATATATATATATATATATATATATATATATATATATATATATATATATATATATATGTTAAATATCACCGCCATAAGGGGACATTTGGTAGACAGGTTGGCAACTGTTAGGCTTTTCGTGATGTTTTAAGAGGGATACTGCTGCTCATGTCTCGACCTTTCCCTTCCTATTTCCCTTAGTCGCCTCTTACGACGCCCACGGAAAAGGAAGGGATGGCCTATTTTATACCGGGATCGCAGGGCATATATAAATATATATATATATATATATATATATATATATATATCGTCATAGTCGTACAATACTGATGGATATATATATTTAATATTTGTTAGATTCGTCAGTACTCTACGACTATGACGATATATGTGTGGGTGTGTATTATATATGCTTTAGTTCCGTATATAATATTTTTCTTCTGTAAATAATGTTTATTTAGACTTTTGTACTAGTTAGGTATTTCTTTCGGCATGGAATAGGATAGAAGCATTAATTTGTTGATTTTTTAATCGATATATTTTGAATATTTCTCAAGATATCATTTTACTTGTTTTTGCTCGCAACTCAACGCTACATTGAATAGTTTTTATACTACTAAAACAAAAAACAAATATGTGGCTCGCCTGATGAAAATGAAACGATGCTTTAATTATTCTAATGTTATCTTACAAAGTAATTAACTGTAATATTATAATATATTTCAATATGTAATATTATAATATATATATATATATATATATATATATATATATATATATATATATATATATATATATATATATATATATATATATATATATATATATATATATATACAGTTAATTCTGAACATATAGCATTTTATTTGTGACAATATTTATATGAAAAATAAAATAAAAATTAATTAAATTTAGAGACTTATATGAGTAAGTAAGAATAATATTATAGACACGCGAGTTGCTTTATACCTAAAATTAAATACAGGTTTTATTTGTAATCTCTTCATTATAACTGGATATTAATGCTATCTAATATCAAGATTTCCATAAAATTATTTAAAGAGTATTTCTAAGAAACTGACTGAGATATTATTTTATATTCCTCCTATTTAAATTTTTAAAATTTTTACTTAAACAATTTCTTTCTTTATTAGAAAAGTAAGCACTTTTACTTATTTAGTGAAAATAAAGCGGTACCTATATATTTCCCTGTATAATTTATAACTAGAACGAAGCCCCGCAGCTTCGTAGTTCCTGTGTAAATTTCTGGAAATCTTTTATTAACGGCACTTTCATTGCCTACGCAAGGAATGTTTGTACGAAATTTCAGACATTTACGGTATTACCACAAAAAATATTTAAAATATTGTTTTCTAAAAAGTGTTTAACAAAACTCTGTTTAAGTAATTAAATTTTGTTTAATCTGTGTAATAAGGTTTAATTATAATTCTATGAGCCAAAATTTATAGATTATTAAAGGTAGATATGGAAGATTATTATATTATAATAGAATATATGTAATAGAAGATAAGTAAATTTATTACTTAAATCACCTTTTATTTTTAATACCATTAGACTTTCTTTTATTTAGGTATAAACTGATGTTAGAAAAGTATTTGTAATGGAGTCTAAACACGTGTTGAATATCTGTCTATCGCAAATTTTACTTTTTTGTAGTAAGATTGTTAGTGTGGCTAGCGTTTTGGCTTCACATTGATGTTGTCAATCAAGCTTGTCTCTAGAGAATACGATACTGAATTTGTCAGTCAATCAGTAACTCTTTTCCTCAAGGACCATGGTGTCTTTCAAGAGGGCTTAGTTTTGTTCAAGGTCGTCAACGAACACATGATACCTCTGGTGTTTATAAGTCATGCTTATTTACCACTATTAACCTTTTTCTCGGGGAATATGATACCCTTCAAAACGCTGTATAATTTAGTTCAAGGCCATTAGCGATGACTTGAAACCTTTGGTATTGGTCATGTTTGTTTACAATTATTTGTGGTATAAAATATTTTTTTTTATCTCATAATACATTCAGGTTTTATTCACCATCATTGTTATATTAGCTGTTAACTTCTAAACATAGGCCTCCTGCTATTGGGGAGTTTTGCCAGTATTTGCCACGTATGGGTTGACAAACGCAGTTAATCTTTGGCGATGTTTTAAGAGAGACGCTGCTACCTTTTCCTCGACCATTGAGTTTAATCTTAACCGCGTCTTACGACACCCACGTGAAAGTAAGAAGTGGCCCATTCTATCACACGGCGATTTAGATTCATATTATAACCATATAATGTATTAAATGTATTTTTTTAATTCTTAAAGGCTTTAATAATTTAGTGTGAAAACTATTTATTACATATATACAGAATGATATTTGTGTAGACATGGAATTTATTATAAGTGTAGAATATAACATATGTAATTAAATTTCACCTACGCTCAAAATAACTCATTTCAAAACACCTACGTTAATTCCATCTAAGTTTATAATACTATTGGTCGAATACCTAATGGAATCTAAGTTTGATTGCTGTAACTTCTTTGGTGCGTTAAAGCTTAAATTTTCTTCGGTTTTGATTCGACTAATTTCTGGAATTCTAGATTTAAGCATTAATAATAAGTTATTTTCGATTGACTTCAAACACAGGAGAAGGTTCACAATTTGTTATATTTGTTACCTTTTAACTTAACTTTGTCACTTACAAACCGATTTGGTGAATTCTGTCTGTAAATTTAACTAACATTATTTTCCTGTTTACTACTTTACTAGCATCTCGCCTCGGTTTCACATGGTTAGATGGGTAGAAAGATAGATAAAATACGGCGATATATAAATTACATGCTAATAACTGTCATATCGCTTTAAATGTTACAGTATTTTTTGAATAAGTATAATATTTGAGTTTAACGATTACAAATAAGAAATCAAATGTTTTCTCTTTATAATACTTACTAGCGGCCCGTCCCGGCTTCGCACGGGTGGACATTTTTGCAACATTTTAAAAAGTGATTATTGTGACATAACGATAATAGTAATCGCGAAGTTTTTTGTAGTTATTGATATTTTCTTCAATATTGTAGTTACATACTTTTGTTCTATTACCAGTAGTTTCCGCAGCGCACGCGACGAAAGATATTTAATAGCATTTTTTACACTTTGATTTACGTTACTAAAGTTTTAGTAAGGATCCCTAATCTTTTCTAGCAATAAATATGGCCTATGTTACTCAGGATAAATGTAGCTTTCTAATGGTAAAAGAATTTTTGAAATCGGCAAAGTAGTTTTATAGTTTATTTATTACAAACACATACATATAAAAATACAAATGTTTCCTCTTCATAATATTAGTGTAGATTTAAGTTAGTTAAAAGTTAGTCTAAACATCAGTCTGGGCAAGTTGTATAAAAATTGCAGTGTATACTGTTAACTTTAATAAAACATTCCGTGAGGGCACGATACATATCTTTGCTAGCTATAAAGATTTACCTGCCTATCCATCTCTATCCGTTCGCATCTCCATAAATCCCCCTGTGCTTTGAATTACCATTAATATTTCTGTTTGCAGGAAAACCGCCAGACTTCGTCGCGTTTGGCATAAGTCTGCTCATGACTGTGGTATTAGTGGCTGGCGTGAAGAAATCATTGTTCTTTAATAACGTGTTGAACGCCATCAACCTCAGCGTCTGGGTGTTCATCATGACCGCTGGACTGTTTTACGTAGACCTTTCTAACTGGACGGAACATAAAGGCTTCTTGCCATACGGCTGGAGTGGGGTAAGTGCTTCATTTGATAATAGTGATCCGATCCATCTTCGCACAAATAGATAGATAGTTAGTCGTTAATAATGTAGCTTTCCATACGTGAAATAATTCTTAAAATCGGTTAAGTAGTTTCTGAGATAAAAATCAAATATTTCCTCTTTATAATAGTAGAGTAAACTAACTTTTACCCGTGACTCCGTTCGCGTGGCTAGGATTATGTTAATAGTTAGATAAAGAGTAGCCTAACAAGCATTTTTCAGTAGACTACAGCATGGGGTTCTTCAAAAAAGGGTAAAGAGGTTTCTTTAGGGTCAGCAACGCGCGCGTAATGCCTTTGGTATTGCAGGTGTTCATAGGTTACGGTAACTGCTTACCATCAGATTGGCCGTATGCTTGTTTGCCACACCAGCAGGGTAAAAAAACTTATATCCTTCTTCATCATAAAATCCTAAATAGTGTGTATATATAAATAAACTTTTAAGCAACCTAAAGATAAAAAAATAAACTAACTTTCACACTTATATAAATAATAAAAACTATTATTTAAACATCCCGATTTAATAGTTTATAAATAGAACCCGCAATATTATCGCTTAGAGAAGACGACGAAAATTGTAAATTAAGTAATCGAGACCCGGTATCGGGAAGAAATTTTCCACGAAAACTTTACGAACTCTGATTCCTTTCGCTACTTCACTGAACGTAGCCCTTTTTGAAGGTTGCCGTAACACAAACACGATGCGAAGTTAACTCACTTATGAAGGTTACCGGTCCCTGTGCGCGCCAACAGCCGAATCTGCCATCGCCGCTAAAATTCCCCAGTGATATAGAGATGTACATAACAATATACTCATAGAACTATACATAACACTTCATCATATTTGAAAATTATGACTTGTAAATTAATAATCACGCTATCATCACCATCATCATCATCATCATCATCATCATCATACCAGCAGTTTATGGTCTACCGTTGAACATAGTCTCCACCTATTGGGCGGTTTTGTCAATAATTGCCACGCTTGGCAAGCGGGTTGGCAACCGCAGTTAGGCTTTAGTAATGATTTAAGTGTGCCCTTGGTCTAGGCATAGAATGGGCCATCCCTTCCTTTGCAATGGATGTCATAAGAGGCGACTAGAGGAACTTAAAGGTCGAGGAATGGGCAGCACAGTCCCTCTTTAAACGTTACCAGAGCCTAACCGCAGTTTCCAACCCACCTGCCAAGCATTACAATTATTAACAAAACTCCCCCAATAAAGGGAAGCCTATGTTCAGCAGTGGACAAGTAATGATTGATATGATGATGAGGAATGTTTTAAAGGGAACGTTGCTGCCCATTAGTCGACCATTAACCCTTTGCACTCGAGGCCTTTTTCACTTGCAATGTAAGTAAAGCCTAAACCACGAAAGTACTTCCTAGAAAACTATCTTATCGTATATAGGAGATCCAGTTACAAAAGACCATAGAGTCATAGCAGCGTAGTTCGATTTAAAGTTTTGAAACACTCAGGCGCCGCAGCAGCGCCGCTCGAGTTGCCACTTCGAGTCGGCCAAGCGCCGTATCGGCGCCGCTCGAGTGCAAAGGGTTAAGTTGCGAGTTAATAATAATTTTACGAATCATATAATTAATTTCATTGTGCCTCCGATCAAACTGTTTATAATTACACCTCTCCATCCAAAGGTTGCCTGGAAGAGATCGCTTTTAGCGATAAGGTCGCCCATTGTTTTCTCATTGTGATTGTTTCTTGTAATTGTTTATATTTATAATAAGTTTACTAATGTAATCTTTTGGAGGAAACAATAAAGAGTATCTATTTGTCTATAACTCCCATATTATCGTTTAAAGTTTAAAAAAAAATGTTATATAGGTATCATCATCAATCGAGAACTGTAGAGAACTGTGTGAAAACTGTAAACATTGAAAACACCTTCGTTTGCTACTTCACTGAACATTTTGAAGGCTACTGTAATACAAACACGAGACGAAGTTAACTCACTTATGAAGGTCACGGGTCCCTGTGCGCGCTAACAGCCGAATCTACTTCCGTCACTAAAATTCCCCAGAGCTCTGGTGCCCTACTTCTTTGATAACATGTACTTATTGTAATAATTATACAGTTATTGAGTACAAATATTTAGTTTCATACGTATTGAGAGCTTTGTAAACAGACTAACTTTTTTCACGCTACTTTGTACGCGCGGATTTCAGAAGTAGGTAAACCAATACAATAAACTTTTATTAGATGGCGTATCAAAATAAAAAACACCAGTGTTTAAGTTAAATCTTAGGAATCCAACTGCAAAAACTTAACCGAATTTGACATAGTAATTTCTACGTGATACCGAAACAAATATACAAACAAATAGATGAAAAAACAAATTTTCTATAAATCTTTGCATCTTGGCGTCTACTGCTAATAATTCTTACATATATCCCATGTACAGACTATGCAATATTATTATATTATTGGCTGTTTCCCGCAGCGCTCCCCGCATGTAATAGATAAAATAATATAACCTACCTTCATAAAATTTCAGCCAATTCAACTGATCGGTCATTTTGTAGCATTTTATATAACTTTTTTTTATTTATGAACCGATTGAATTATAACAAACACCAAATGTTAAGTAGAGCAAACCGCAACGCATTAGTGAAAACCGCATTCAAATCAGTTAAGCCGTTTCTGAGATTAGCGCACACAAACGTACGTAAACAGACAAAAAGACAAACACACAAAAAGACAAAAATTTCTTTGGGTACTATTGCATTCATAAAGCCTCCCTACAATACTTTTTTCTTATATATCTTCCATGTACACACAGCGACCAGTTACGATTTTATTATATATATTGATTAAGATTGTTGTCACTACACTTCTTTTATTTATGTCTTATTTATTAAAAACTTTAGTATCCTAATTTATTTATCTTTTACTTGAACACTTTGTGGTATTTTTATATTCCCTCGAGTCACCTTTTCTTTTGTTTCGTAATACTTGCTTTTGTTCCTAAAGTTATAAAGTTTTTTTTTTATTATTATTTGAACCTCTTTTCGCTAAACTAAAACCAGTAGCTTTCAACTCTCTTGATTAATACATTAGCTCCATATATTCTCAAGATGTACCTATCACATATTTCTATGTTTCTTTTACACATCACCTCTCATCTCCTATAAATACGTTGGTAATTACACAAATGAACAATCTGATCCTATTTATCTCATTTAGGGAAATATTCGCAAATACAATGCAACGAAACTAAACTCCCTATAAACACGTTGCATCGTATTAATGTGTCTAATAAACCAAAACATTAGCTCGTTCAAAATACATGCGTATTAATATACCTTTATAGCCCAATTGTTTTCAACAATTCTGATATATATGTGCTATGGTTGTTGATAGTCACTCGCTCATCCCCAGTCACCCTTTAGCTGTCGGACCTGTAAACAAGCGTCAGCTCGTTTAACTGCCAGGTAAGCTATTAATTAACACAAGTTACTTACACAATGCAAAGCACGCGCTTGATTATCGTCCCTTGTTGGCACACCTAAATAAAATTTGTGACTATATCAATTGATACGTGTTTGTTCTAATATTGTTTTTTCAAAATAATATTTTATGCAATAGACTGTTTTTAGTGTTTCATACCTCCAAAGGAAAAATAGTACCGTTACAGGATCACTTCGTTATCCGTTTGTCTGTCTATCAAGACTTCTTCTCATAATACTCGTGAATGTATCAAGCTGAAAATAACATTAAATACATAATTATTCAAGTATGCTGTCCCTTAAGGCTGTGAAAAAATTAAACTTCTAAGTCGCCGCAATCAAAAAGTACGGCACGTTTATCGCATATATTTAGACATTTATAAGAAAATCAAAACCTATAGGGACCGTTTTCCCGTTGACCTAAAATCGCAAAAATCAGCAAGCAATTTCATACTGTGACCAACTTCGTCATAATTTATATTTACATAACAAAAGAAATATTTTTTGCAATTTTTTTTCAATTATAATTTGTACAGAACCTTCAGTGCGAGAATTCGACTCGCGTTTAGCTGATTAAATAGTAGATAAAACGGATTTTTTTATACCACAAAGGTGGAAAATAAGCATACAGCCCGTCTGATGATAAACAATCATTATAGCCTTTGGACGCCTGCAACACTAGGGGTATCACGTGCGCGTTGCCGACCCTGAAGAAACACTAATATACCCATTGTGAAGAACCCCATACTGTAGTCTCTAGGGAAAACCTCGGCAGAGAGCTCATTCCACAACCGGATCAGGTACATATAATTCAAATAGTGGTAGACTCGCTGTTTACACCTTTTGGCGAAATGTGGGTACGTCGAGTGTATTGTCCACCACCACGGCAACAGTCGGCAAATACGTCTGATTACCCCATTACAGTATAATCTCTAGTCGTGAACTTATACTTTCAAACTAATAACTAGCCTTACCAAAGAAATATTTTTATATAATTTACATAATTATAGTATTGTGAAAATCTACGAGCTCTTTTAGAAAACAAACAATATTCCTTCAAGTAATTTATCGACATAATAAAATATAACTCCAAATATCTAATGATGAAAGCTCAAAGCAGCCCGTAAGGTTATATTAGCGTCATAGATATTGTGTTATGTAGATACTGTTTACAAAGGCTCGCATTGTGATTATTATTTCACGAGTCATAATTTTCAAACACAATGTAATGTACGCTTACACTCGTCTGTAGTTTCTACGAGTATAATGTACGTAGATATCTATATTATGTAACCAATTTGAAGCAAGAATCTTTAATAATATTTGACTAGTTCAGTTTTATTTTTTCATAATTACAGTTTCTCCGACATAAGATAATTTACGTGGTTCTTTTTTTTTTATTGGAAAGGTTTATATTTTTTAATTTATATCAGTATTAATTTAAATTGTAGCAAGCAGAAAGTAGATATACTTGGCGACTAAGGGTATTTATACTCGAGGAATGGGCAGCAGCGTCCCTCTTAAAAACATCTCCAAGGGTGTAAGTACGGTTGCTAACTTGCTTGCCAAGCGTAGCAGCTACTGGCAAAACCTCCCAATAGGGGGAGGCCTATATTCACAGTGAACAGTAAACGGTGATAAAAAATGATCTTTTTCCTTAAAAATCGAGAAGCATATACGACTGTATATTTTTAATAATTTTTAAGGAAAAATAGACTTTATTATAGTCAATCTTCAAATCAACAATCTAGCAACTTTAATCCAGTAACGAATAATATAACAAATTTAACTAATTCAGTACACAAAGACGATAGATTTATCTCCGCCGATGTTAACTTTCGAATATTTAATACACTGTAGAACTTTTAGATATATTTAAAGGATTTCCAAAAGTCAACTAAAATTTCAACTTAAATTAGCTTTTCGCCCGCAAAACTAAGAGAACAATCTCATAATCCGCTTTTGATTCTCTTCCATTACCGGATTAATGTAATATTTTCGGTTGTTATAATAGTAATAGCAATACGATGTAAGAAAATATTGGTAAACTTTCTTTTGTTGGTGGTGAGGCAAACTGACTAATGGTTCACTTTATTGGAAACGGCCACCGTCGTCCACGAACTACAAGGATAGTCGCTAGTGCTATAACGTATTCCCTAAGTGTTAAAATGTAATAGTTCCGATTTTACTATATTTTGTTAGACAATAGAACTACGTCATATCACAGTATAAAGAACTACCTATCCTCTCTTTCTCTGTAAGTAAGTGTAACATGAGTCTCCCCCTAGGGGGTTTTGTCAGTAGTTGCCCCGCTTGGCCGGCGGATTGACAATCGCAGTTAGGCTTTGGAAATATTTTAAGAGAGACGCTACTGCCCATCCCTCCCCCTCCCTTAGTCTCCTCTTACGACATTCACGAAAAAGGAAACGTGGCTTATTCTATGCAGGGACTATACGAAACGGTTATATATTACAATATATTATTTGTTTAGATGAATTTATTAATTTAAGGTATGTGAAAGCACTTTACAACGAAAACTCTTATTCTTGACAAAAATGAATGTAACCATAGGGTATAAAGTAGAGAGTAAGTACTAATTTATTTATCTAATTATTATTATTATTAAATTAATTTAACTAAAAAAAAATTGAAAAAATTTAAGCATTTGTAAAGAAATCAAATCAGAGTATAACATAGAAATACATTCTAGAATTCTTTAAGTCAAGAGTCATTAGTTATCTTCTTGACAAGCACGTTTCATATTAAGTCTTGCCGTTACTTCTTATCAGGCGAAATAATATCGAAACCAATCATCCAATATTTACTATTGCGCCGTAAATGTCATTAAAATTGAGTAGAGAATATACTATTTGTTACATAGAAAGAAAGAAAGAAAGTCATGCATAAAGACGATAACTCGACAATAAATCTTAAATTGTCGATAACCACTGCTTTAATTTGTTTGAAATTTTTATTTTGATTTGCATTGGAGATTTTTCCATTAGCGGACTTTGCGCCAATACTGGCACTGATAGGGCGATGACAACCTAATTATGAAATACGCGTACATATCTATCTGTAGAGTCCCCTCTAAACGTCTCGATTTCGTGATCAGGTCAATTTAAAAACTAATTCTGAGTGTCTTACATAACTTTCAAATATAAGCAGTATGATAAATTAATTCGAATAATCTGTATTAGGATCTGTTGTAAGATCTCTGTCTGTGTTCTGAACTATTATCAAAAAGTAGTTAACTGTACCGATGCCTTAACAGCGAAAATGCTCAATGCCGGAGATTTCCTCTTACCTTGTTATATACCTAGCCGTTCTAGTAGTCTAATATTCGTACTACATTAAAAAATTGGAAATCTTGTTAAAAGTTCATCGTTTTTTTACTACGCACTTTATTGAATTCAGTCGATCGATACAGAATTTGCATTCAACTCTACAGAATTTATATTTGATTTTTATACTTCAAATTTTACCGACAATTTGATTTTGACAAAGCAATGCAAAATTCGGTCAAGCATCATTCGAATTTGTAATTTCGGAATAGACCTATTGCTTCCGGTGTCAATGGGTAAATACCCGATGGCAGTCGCGTGCGGATAACTGTGGTGGATAAATTTGAGTATCCGGTTCCGGTGTTTAATTCTCAATAGCGCTTTCAAGTGGGTGAATAAATATTTAAGGATAAACTCGTAATTAATGCACTAAAGAAATAGGTACAGTCAGCATCAAAAGTCCATAAACACATTGATATTTTCGTAATCTCTATGTACTATAGCATAGAGATATTCAACTAGTTCTGACTTTACACAATCCAATTCTGGCGCAAACTGTCTAGAGCTATTTCTACATAACGATATTTACGAGTTGCGGAAATCTGTCTCTCTGAAGAGGTGGCAAACAAATCTCTCGATACAATGGTTATCGCTACTGAATTTATGAGGTAGAAAAAGGTAGCGTTCGGTAGTTAGGTAGCATAAGAGGTATGCGAACATAAAATATATACATATCTAGATTCTTTTTAAATTTGTCTAAGAGGAATTGTAGGTTTACAACGAATAACTTAATCTTAGATAGTAAATCCTATGCCTGTACTATGTATATAGCAAAAGTAAAGTATCTCTTTTACCAGGTATTCAGCGGAGCAGCGACATGTTTCTATGCTTTCATCGGGTTCGATATCATTGCCACAACTGGAGAGGAAGCTAATAACCCGAAGAGATCTATCCCATTGGCTATTGTTCTCAGCCTTGGAATTATCCTTCTAGCCTACGTCAGTAGCTCTATGATGTTAACTTTGATTGGTAAGTGAATTTTTACTCATACTTAAAAGCCACTAATAAGAATTAGGTATAGTTTCTTCGAATAGACATAGTTTCTTTATAATAGTTTCTTATCTTTTTTTAAAAGCAAGTGGCCTTTATAATTTCTGTTTGTATTGAGCATGGAAATGACCGCTAGCTAGTTTTAATTGATTATCGTTTGGTGATAGTATTATTCTTTTCACTAATATCACGCTTGTTAAGTTTGACAGTCAATGATTTTCATTCGCAGTGATCTAATATCACACTTGTTACTTTTCGCTTTTGATTTCTATGATCGATGTGCTGTATAGTATCTACTCGTTTACTTCTAACATCTCAGACTATAGTTATGGATAATTTTCCATTTAGTGCTATTTATAGTAATCCATATGAAAGGAAGTAGCTGGCACAATTTGCATTTCATATAAAACCTCACACATTACTCGTGAAATACATTATATCTAGTGTGTACTTATACGTCACATCGCATTGCTATATCAATATTAACAGCATCATGCACATCGTACATACTTACATATTGCTATTTCATAAAGATTGCACGTTACTTCTACGTTCATTGGGTATCGACTTTACTTCCTTACAAGTAGAAATTTCACAGTTAACTATAGACACAGTTATTTTACAGTTGTAACCCTAATTTACGCTTAAATCTATTTAAACAGCCGACCTATTATTTTTGTGTTCTTTGTCCATTTATCTTTAGTACATAAATAGCAGTTTAATAAATCAGTAGATTTTTTTTTATTATCGTATGCATAAGAAATCGTAATACAACAAATGTAGCAATTTCTTACTATTTCATAGACAATTAATTCGATTGTTATTAACTATTACAGTTGTAACATTATATACAGATTCGTATTTAATAATAAATATTAATTATAAAGCCTTTGTTTTATAAAGTTCAGTCTTCAGCTTAATACCCAACATTTGATTATATACCTAAATAAATGGAAAATAGCATCTCTAGTAGTTCCGATCCGAACTATAATGGGTCCTAAGAGTGCTATTATAGTTTTCGACTAAATTAAGTGACGCCCTTATTACATTTCACTATCTATATAACACAAAAGACACATACGAGAATTCCGTTCATTAACGTCTTTGTTGTTTAATAAGTAACTAAAGAAATCCCAAAAAAGAACCGACCACAATCTGTTCACAATAAAAAATCAAAATCATTTATTAATATAAGACATTTTTATTAAATAGGCACCTTATTTTTTTTTTTTTTTGTTAATTCTACTGTCTAAAGAGAATAGATATGATACCAACTTAAAAAATATCTATAGCCAAATTAAAAACCTCTGTAAATTATATTAAAATTAGGTACAAAAATTACTTTTCTATCTTACAGTTTATTTATGGTCAACCATCAATAATATCTGACATGTAACAAATTTTATATATGTCACAGAAAACAAAGGATATTAATTGGTTTTAATATCAATTATCAATATATTAAATATTTTTCTATGTAACACAGGAAATAAGTGTTAAAAACACTTATGTACAATAATATCTCTATTTAATAAACATTGTGATATATAATTGATGAACCGTTATTCAAGGCATTTTATATTAAGCAAACAGTATATTTTTAATTTAGTATATGTATTAATTAATCGAAGTATTAATTTCTTCGATGCAGTTTTACTACGTTAATGTAAAATAATGTATGCCCCTTTTGTAGTTATAGGGAATAACTATAATTTCTTTATTGACGCTTTCACTGCTTCGTTGAAATAAAATTTTTACTCACATTTAGAGAAAATAAAATTACCAAAATGACATGTATTTATTTATTAATTTTATGCATAAATAGCTATGTATGTATCGTCTTGTATTTCTAACGTGAAGCAGTTGTTTGAAGGTAAGGTATGAAATCTTAATATTTAAGAATTATATATATATATATATATATATATATATATATATATATATATATATATATATGATATATGTACGTACACTACATACGATATCTATGCTTCTGTTTCTTTCTATAAATACTGGTTACCACTTACCGTCAGATACGCCGTCAACTTGTCATTCTGAGTTCAAACAAAGTTTGGGTTTTGTGAAAACTAAACGCTCAAAATAGAAAGCTTTTCGACTGATTTTAAACATTTCTACAATAAGCTAATAACGGTATCCATTGGAAAAGTCATATCTCACTTTTAGAATTTTTATATTCCTTTTTTATTTTGCATCAAAGCGAGCCAATGCATCGATATTATTTTGTCACCTGCATGGAAACCTGTTGCAAAGTGTGACGTGTCCGGACATAGATCTAACTTCGTGATTACAATTTTCAATTTATCATTAAACGCCCACGGGATCGTTCAAAATACCGTTTCACATTCCAGAATGGAATTTGCAAGGCTATTTTGTTCATTACATTACCTGGTTCATACGCCTCGTTGATATTGCATGACATTTGTGCAACACGTGGTGCCATGATGGCACTCATATTTGAATATAAATTAAAACTAACGATTTTTCGATTTCTCATCAAATAATAATAAAAAAAGTAAAATCAAATAATAATAAAAAAGAGTTTTCAGAAAATAGTTATATGTACACCAAACTACATTCTTTCGAGATGTATATTTTAATTATATATTATTAACTGTTACTAATCTTTCCTATCCGAATAATGAAGTACTGCGTTCTTGATTCACTGCTCATCGCAAATGTTGATTGGTAGGTTGGTAAAGAATGCTACTAGCTTTAAATCCGTATTTTATACCATTTTTTTCCGTCAATAAAGTTATTAAAATATATAAATATTTTCTAACTACAATTAATATTAATTTGATTTTAGAATCTACGAGTATAATAGAATGTAAGAATATAACTTCAATTTAAGTACAATAGCGCCGTAAGAAATAATATTTAATGATAAACCTTCACTTTGTGTGTTTAGTTAGTATGCTATCAACACTGTAAACTAATTTTTCATACATTAATCAATATCAATTTGAATTTAGAATCCTTAATAGAATGCAAGAATTATCACGTTAAATTGACAATAGCACTCCCAGAAATAATAAATATTTAATGATAAACCTTTACATTGTAAGTAACAAGTACATTGTATAAGTCAAACTTAATGACATTTCCTTCCATATAGATTTTAAAATTAATTTTACTATTTAATAGTAACAAGCATAAATAAATAACTATATAAATCTCAATAAAACAATATTTAGTATTCTATTGATAAATGGCAATAAATTCTATTGTTGCTCTTTTCAGCAAACGTTAATTTTCTTTAGCACAAGAGTTATTTAAATTAGTAGACAAATCAAGACCATTACTGACTATAAAGTTCTAAAAAGTAAAGGAGGTCTTTACCTCTTTTTACGAGTATATTATTGACTGAAATTATAAAAAAAGTTGACTTGTTTTTGACGAAGCATTTGTATGGAAACTCCCTATATATATAATTTAAGTTCTCATTGCAGTTTTCCTATATTTTCAATATTCGTTTGTGTAAAGATTCAACGAATAAATGAATATTTAGTAGTACTTAAGAATATTACTCAGATAAATTATGAAAATTATTACTAATAAAGTCAGTTCCTTTTATAAATATTGTAATAGTCAATTTAAAAATCTACACGAAGACAATTTTCTACTTCTACGTTATGCACAATGTGCTCGTATTACATATAAGTATTTAATACAGTTGTTGTAATTAAATATAAGAAATATCTTTTAGTATTCAAGTAGGTAATAAAAATAATAGATTTACTTCATTGCTACTTATATTGTATTATGGTATTATATCTCTTCGTAGTTACATATTTTATATCATAAATAAAATAGAAAAAGCTCTCAATATAACTGTTGCTCAAAGCAAAATACGAATATTTATTTATAATATTTCATTTTGCTTTTTATTCATCTATCGATTTAAATAAACATAAATATAAACATATTGAACTTTCCTCAATAAACATTTTAAAATCAACGTACAAAAAGTGGGAATAGCTTTAAATATTGGATATAAACACAGGCAATAGCGAACTGTTAAAAAAGTAAAAAATAAATAAAATTAACACTAAAATAAATAAAATAATAAAACTGGGGAATTACTTTTGATGTTATTAATTTCATCAGAGCGGAAACTTTGTACATAATTCCTCTGGTTCGGAAAGATAATTACTGTGACTGAAAAATCACACAGATTTTGCTTCTGTGAAATATCTGTGCTGCAAAATGGTTTCGGTTTGAATCATCATCATATTCGCCGTTAACGGTCCACTACTGAATATAGGCCTCCCCCTTGGGGGATTTTGCTATTAATTGCCACACTTAGTAGGCGGGTTGGCAACAGTAGTTAGACTTTGATGTTTTAAGGGGTACGCTGCCCTCCCTTCGACAATTTAATTCCTTTAGTCGCTTCTTATGACATCCACGGAAAGTTAGAGGTGGCTTATTCAATACCAGAACCACGGGGTATGGCGGAATATGACTTTCCATTATGTGGACTGTCAGCTTATATACCATTCTATGTATTCGTTAAAAAATTGGAATATAAGAAATATAACCTGGTACAGAGGTAAAATAAACATAACCAATGAATTTGCATAAAAAAATTGACCTCATAATTGACGTCTATTTGATTTTACACCAATTATATAATCAATTTGACTTCACGATACTAACTTTCTTTTGCAAGATTTGTCTTGTTGCAATTGTTAATACCACAACTCTATATTGTTACTGAATTAAACAATGTTCAATGTCTGAATGGTCGTTGGAAAAGTGGTACTCTATAGATGTAAAACATTATATCTGTTAGCTGTAGCTGCTATCTGTTCAATTTTTTTTTTTTGTTATCTACTCACCTAGTGACCTAGAATTTCTTTATTCGCTAACAATAGCTGTACTTATATATTATACGTTATGTGTTATATGTTAGCTGTTACATGTTCTATGTAATATGTTATCTGTTACATGTTATGTGG